CCTCAGCTTTATTTCTTCTGGTTTAGGAACTTGAGCAAAACCTGCGGACTTCGGCGGGTTCTGCCCTGCTCGTGGATATCCTGCACAAGGTAAGGTGGGATGATGGGATGATGCCGCCTCACGTAACCAAAGCGCTTGCTGGCCTGCAACGGGTTTTGCTCGCGATCACAAAGGTAAGCGACTTTGCGTCGCCGTTTTTCTTTGGGCCCAGCAGAACAGCACCTTCCCTTCTCTTCCTGTTCTTAGCACCAGCGCGAGGGCACGGAGGGCTTCACGTCACAAACGGGTCAGCGCAGCCCGCCCTGTCTCCGGCGGCCGAGGACGAGGTGATCCCGGCCACCCCCGGCACCCACCAGCCCTCACGGTGCCTGACCTTTGCGTGCGGAAAGGAAACGGCGAATGAGGCAGCAAACCAAAAAAAAAAAAAGAGGGAAGAGAAAAGCAAAATGGAGCTAATTGGCCTCTTTCCACCCGGTTTTGCTTTTTACTTCAGAAAAGTGAAAAGCGCATGGTCCCAATTAACGGCTTTTCTCCGGCCCCTTCCTGCCTTTCCTAAAACCTTCCCTTGGTAACTGGTTTTAATTGCTGTTCTTCTTGCAGACCCTTCTCCACCCTCTGTGTGTGAAATATCCCCCTGCCACCAAGTACAGGAGGTGTTTTCTAACCGAACTCATCAAAAAGGTACTGCGTACTGGTCACGTTGGCTGCAACTCCTTTTTTTTTTTTTTTTTCCTTGACAATATGCCAGTTTTACATTACGGGCCAGGCTGAATTATTTGAATTAACAAAAAAATAGCATTAATGTAAAATATTATGTATTAAAATGGGGCGTAATGAGCATGGGTTGTCTGTGTCATGACAATTTGATGCCCAGAGCTGCCCTGTTCCCTTTGCACAGCATGAATCCACAGCAGCTGAACCCCTGGATGAGCTGTACGATACCCTGGCAGATCTTTTAAATGAAGAAGAATCTACTCGCTGTTACAAAAACTACTTGCTGGTAAAAACAATTACTGCGTTGTTATAAATCACTTTTAATCATCTGAACTAAGCAATAATTAGCTTGAAAAGTAACTCCCCAGAACCCTGGAGTCCTCCCTACCTTTTTCCAGGCACTAATATTGATTGTAAACTGTAAAATCCATTGTCTATGCCCATCCATCTTCCTTTTCTTGCGTGCGTCCTCCAGCCCACGGGAGAAGCCGTCACCCTTTCCGAGAGCGTGGCGATTATCTCCGGAGGAACCACGGGGCTCGTCACCTGGGACGCTGCTCTTCATCTCGCTGAATGGGCAGTAGGGAACGCCGCCATTTTCAGTAACAGGTAAACCACAGCGGCGCAGTGGAAAGACGGGGAAAGAAGCCACGGTATTTTCATTCGTATCGTGAGCTATGCAACTGTAATTTAATATCATACAGTATTTACCCCCCAGATAATCGAAATGACTCTACTCTTTTGCTAATGGCTAACTGCTGCTCTCGTCTGTTCTGCAACAGTCAAACTTGAATCCAGGAGAGGACCTCGTAGTTATTTTAAGACAGGTTTTAAGATCAAAACCATTACACCATGGGGTCAGGCCGTTAAATCCCAGCTCCCACACTGCCTTGCCAGTAATTTTAACTGGCTCCACGCTGGGATTCATCTCGCCTGACTTCAGATGCCGATGTGCAGGCGTGCACATCTAATTTCATAGTCTAGACTTTGTTTATAAGCAGTCGAGAGGAACGAGCGCTTTTAAGGCAAGATGCGGCTAAGTTAATATTAAATACCAACCTCACATGGAGCGGCGCTGTGCTGCTGAAGTGCCCGTTTCTCTCCACTGACTCCAAAAAGAACCAGACCACCAGTTCAGATGGAGAGAACCCCGCTGCAGAAGTCTAATTGCAGCAGCGGAACTGTATGCAAAAGCAGCATTTCAAGTCCTTCATTTTCATGCTTCTAATTACATTTTCAGCGTTTACCAACTCTACCAGTTATTTGAAACAAAGATTAGATTGTAGATGGCGTACTCAAAAACTATTGAAACAATCTGTAACTGATTTTACCTTTAGATATACTTGGAATGTTTTGATTTCCTAACTCAATTTAGAGCCCTAGTAAGTCCTTCTGTTACGCTATTACCCTTCAGGACAGTCTTGGAACTGGGAAGTGGGATCGGCTTCACTGGAATCGCAGTCTGTAAAACCTGCAATCCCAAGACGTACGTATTTAGTGACTGCCACCCCTGCGTTCTCAAGCAGCTGGCAGAAAACATCCGTTTGAACGGCTTCACCTTGGAGCCCAAAACCACTCGTCATATCCAAGCAGAGTCCCGAGGCCAGGAGGCAGAAGCAACGAATTCCCCAAAACCCAAAATAATTGTTGCAGAACTTGACTGGGGCTCCGTTACAGAAAAACAACTGTTGGATCTTCAGCCCGACGTCATCGTTGCAGCAGGTGATTACATTTCTGATTATGCCTCGCGGTGTGCTGTCGTGCAGGAATAACCAGGTTAGAGGAATTGCATGACGGATCTTCTCCCAGTTCACCTCACCATTCTGCTTTTCTCAGATATTCAACGGTTGTTTACATAAGACTGAAATTATTTTTCCCTTCTGTATTTAAAAAAAATAATAATCCAGAAAGAGAGGATGATAAATCTGCCACTTTTTAGAGCCTCAGCAATAACTGGCAGTCTTGGCTTTCTCTTGAGGGATAATATACATCTGAAGAGAAAGGAACTTTTTTGGAACTTGCCTATGTGTGAATCTGGGGGGAGTTTATAAAAATCTAGTAACACAAAATCTATCAATAGTAAAATTTCTTAGCTGTAGCTACAGGATTTTACTCCCTGATTTGGGGCTTTGCAGAGGAAAAAATTACTTAAGAATTTAGGTGAAAAAAATGACAAAGATACTACCTTTGTCTTCCAAGTATCACACGATGCATTAAACATGCAACGTCTGTAAAATGAAGTCACCATACGTTACCTAATGCCAGCCACAGCATTCAGGGAATGCACAAACCAGCCTAAGCTGGATGAACAAAGGAAACGCAACTCAAAACCGAAGGAGATTTATATGTATTTACTATTTGCTGCTACTACTTACTGCAGGACATTTCCCTTGTGACGTTGTACAAGAGTAACTGGTAGGTCCATCACCGGGACATGGATCTGCCTCGGCATTTCCGTGTAGTAAACCGCCACCTCTGGAGCATCGGCCCTGAACACGTTGGAGAATCGCAGTGCTGATTAGCGCAGCTGAGGTTTTGTCCCCCTGGTGATCAGCCTTACCCTTCCTCACTATTTCTGCTCTCAAGGAAATTATTTGAAGTGAAAACTACTGCAGTTCAAATCAAAGTCCTTTGCAACCAGCCTCTGAAATAGAGATTGTTAACAACGCTACAGACAGTTGTAGCAGAGAGTACCACTGCCCAAAGGTTTTGTTGTCTCCCTTAAGATGGGCTCAGACACAATATCTGACAGTCCATTCACAAAAAGGAGCACAGATCTATTTTAGTGATTTTTGGACTGCTATTGGAGATGAGGGCAGCTTCACACAGCACATAAATCCTTTCCTAAGATCTCTTCTTGGGATTTATCATCCCCTCAATAAGAAAGTCATATTCTCCTGTAAGGTAAATATTGTATCTATTTCTTTTGTAGTTTCCATTCTGCTTTTTGCTTATTTAGTCAATAAATACTGAATGTTTTCCTTTTTGTGCAGATGTGGTCTATGATCCAGAGATCACTTCTGCCCTTATTGGTATGCTACAAAAACTCTCCGCTTTCAGAGCGGCTAGAAAACCTCCTGAGGTCTACGTCGCCTTCACCATTCGTAACCCAGACACCTATCGCCTGTTCCAGGCTGGACTCGGTAGGTGCCTCTTTAAGATGGACAGGAGTATTTTTTGGCAATGGGCATTTGCCTGTAGCTTGCTGAAGGTCTCTTCTTACAGAACTTGACGTGCAGCCTTTGCTCTTTGTTTTATTAAGCAGAAATAAGATTCCCAGTGTTTCTCTTTACAGATAAAGTTGGGATCGGATGGCAGATTATTCCAGCCCACAGCAACAGTTTCTTTCTCTATGACGTGCAACCCAACGTAACTATTCTACAGCTATTTATATAGACTTGGCAAATATGACAGAATTAGAATTTTCAGAGCACTCTCATCCTTGCAACAAGATAACCTTCAATTCTAGAAAGGAGAGGCACCGAGAATACAACTGTAAGCACGGACTGTTGTCAAAGTCAGTTACATTTTCTCCTGTAATTGTCAGCGTGTACGCAAGCAAGCTGCTGCCCCTGAAAATGCCTGTGAAGCTCAAGCGGTAGCAAGAAGCCCTAACTGCACCACGCTTTGATGCTGCAGAAGACAACAGAATTGAATTGTATTTTTTTTTTCCAATTGTGTTTGATTTGTAAATAACGGAGGCACATCTGCAGGATCACAGGGTGAGCATCACACACTGTTTCATAGTAATCTATTTTTTTTAACATTAAAACCAGCTGTAATTGTTGTCTACTCTGGTTTTTATACTTGTCTGTATATACTTGCAGTATAGGTCATCTTAAAAATTACTAATAATACCTACAGTCAGTATAGTAGGTAGTGTCACAAGCTTACATGATGCTGTAAGAGGAAGTAACAGACTCTGTGCTCATCAGGTTTATCTTTATCCTGCAGTGATGGCAAAACTCAGAATTTGATTGACATTTCTCTCACACAAAGACTGTCACTCACAACTATCGGGAAGCCATCCTCAGATGGGCCAGAAAATACAAGAATTGTACTTTGTAGCAATGCTCTACGGATACTGCAAGGAGGAAGAATTTAGCTCACCTTCTCTGAAACTTTCCATAATCCAGTCATTGTTTTCCCCTTGGGCAGCATTGGTCCTGAAGCAGAAAATCAAACATGCTGCTCTCTCTCCTGACTTCCTTTTCAGTACCTCAGTTTAAAAGCTACTTAAAACACAAGGAACAAATACTTTAGCCCTCTCCTCCTGTAGCAATAGACGACAGGTAACTCAAAATGTGAAGAATCATCTTACTCTCCCAGTTGAAGGTGGCCATGACCGCTAGTTTTACGTTGGATGTATTGAAGTAACCCCGCTGCGCTTCGTTTTAGAATTTTGGGTCTAAAACGTTTTATTATAGGAAGATGAAATGTCTATAAAGCTTTTGGCATTACTGTTTAATTAAAGAAATTTAGGTCCATAAGCATATCAATGGCTGAAAGGAAATGGCCATACCACTGGACAGAAAAAGTAATAATAAAAATAAAAAATCAGCAAATAAATCTTCATAGATCATTTTTCAGCCAATAAACTAGTGAAAGTGCTGAACCCCTGCAGTAAGGAACTTGGGACTCTCTTCACCTTCACACCAGTGGAACCAAATCATTGTCAATCTTTTTTCAGTGTCTACTATCACCGCAGTGCAGAGGGGAAGGGCAAGATTAGCAGAGAGCTGCCTAGCGTGGCAAAAGCAGGTATTAAACAATTCCTCAGTCAGCGGGTTGAAAAATGCTGCTGCAGAAACCACCACTGAACTAGGAGCTCTGAAGAGGCTCAATGCAAGTGGTAACCACATAAACCCAAACACATTTATTCCTCAAATGACTGACATCTATTTTATAAAGAAGCTAAAAGGTGATGAAAAAAAGCATCTTGTAAGCATTAGGTCTGCCTGTGAATACTGATAGTGAATATAAAAAAATAGAATGAAGGGTACAGCCGAGTGAGCACTCTGAAAGTGAAGCAGCCTTTTAATTAATTTATGCATACTTTAACAACCTGGTTTGGGTTTATTTTTTCCTTTTCTCTTTGCCTGTTCAAAAAGGGATAAATTTTATGTTCTTTCTCAAGGTAAATGGGCACATTCACTTCAGTGTACAAGGACAACACTCGCTGAAAGGTCCTTTTTCCTCTAAGTGTTCAATAAAGCTGTTGCGTGCCAGTGGCTGCACTTTCGTATTCTTGCACACACTGTAAAAAAGGAAAACTAAATGGTTCTGTCTCAGTAAAATCAGATGAGGATTTTCAATAGTTGTCTAAGGAAGACTAGCCAAGACTGCTAACTGGTTGAAAAAATAAAGACCCACTATATCCTCAGTTCAAATAAAACAATTCAAATAAAAAGCATCTCCCATTTGCAAGAAAAATACACCCAAATCGCCTACTGAAGTGCCTACTGTACAACAGGTGTAACTGGTAGAGTTTATAGATGCAATTAAGTACGTTCACCAAAAAGTGACCTTAAGGCAGCACAGGTAAGAAATTTTGCATGTAGGAGTTTCCAGAGTAACTAAACCTCCCACTCACTTTCTAAAGATTCACCCAAGCGATAAGGAAGAAAAGGCAGCGTGGACGGCAAGGCTCACGCTCTTCAGCGCGGGAACCCTGTCTTCCCTCATGACTTACACTGCTGGCACACAACCAATACCCTCGGTTGCACCTTCAGCACTGTTCTTACACGAGAAGCTGAAATTGTAAAGGAAAAGGTGTCCCCAAACAATTGTCCCAAGATGAAGTCGTTAAGAACAGCAATTGTAGACAACACAAAGTGTTTATTCACTATTTATCAAATCTCTGCATCTCCAGGAATGTGTTTGCTTTTTTGACACCCTCCTCCCTCCCAAAAGTCATTCATTCTGCCCAAGCAAAGGAAGAACAGTCTGGTCCCAACTCTCATCCCAGCGCAGCTGCTTGGACGCACGGAGATTTTTTCTGAAGCTGTGAAGTTTGCCCTCCAGGGTAGGAAATTCTGAGAAAAGCATCTGTACGTTAAAAAAGAAAAACCACAGAAAAATACCTCATATTACATTTTAGGTTCATTCTAGCCTCCCCAATGTTAACCCTCAACTACAACGCTGCAGTAAGACAGCACTCTTTAGTCTGGGCCTATAAATAGTGAACGATGACAATATGTACAATGTTCTTGCCAGCTTCACATTCATATTCAAATAGAAGCGAGGCCAATAACATTCACCAGGCAAAGCAGTATCTTCTGCGAATGCAAAATACACAGGTGGTAGGCAGATTGGAAAGGCGGCTCACACAGTACCACCTTTGTGGTTATAGCTAGTGGGAAAGAAAAAAAAATAATCAGTCAAGCCTTTACCTTTAGTTGTTCTGCAAGTTCATTCGAGTCCCTGAATATCAGACCATTTTCATTGTGTTTCACAAGTTCATGTAAACTGTGAACAAAAGTCATAGGAGAAAACATAAAGCAGCGAGCGGGACACAGACATTTTAAAAAGTTGTGCGGTGACATCCGAAGAGATCGTGCTAGGGCATCTGTAACGCTATGACCCTGGATGTCTAGATGTAAGCTTCATACCTGATGAAATGGGATGAAGAAGGCAGTTTCAAACATTTAAATTTAAAGATTGTTTCTCCCTTCTATCAGACTATCTAAATCTACCATTGCAGCACAAAAGGGTCCTCACTCTGCCTTTGTGCCACTCACCCGGCCACACATTAAAAATCAGGGCAATTGTCTACTTTAAAATTAACCTACAAGGAAAATCTGTCCATGATCCAGTTTATGAGATCTTCACGAAGAATGTATCTTTGTTTATAAAGGCTACTGCTTCCCCAAAGGACTGTAACTTGTAAGGCTGACTATGCCCTTCACAGAACAGCCGTACCTATGCAGAAGGAAGCTTTTCTTACATTAAGTATATGGAAACAAAGGATCCCAGGGAAGGTTTTTAAGGCAATGCTACCAACTTTATAGAAACTAGTGTTAATTTTTTAACTGACCTTAAATAAAATTACCTTGATTTCTAATTTAACATATTGAATTAAACCCGAAATTATTATGGCTTAATACCAGAATCTCATTTGCTACATGCAGAAGCTGTTAAACTCTTGCTCTGTAAGTATATTGTTCTAAATGATCCACTTAAACTGTATCAGAATAAGCTCTTACCATTCAAAATATATTGCACACACAGGTAAACAACAGCCGAACATATCTACCACCTTCATGGGTAAATCCAAACCACTAGATGATTTATGGAGACACACCCCCAGGTCTGCGGAGCCTGGAACACAAACAAAGCAGACAAGAGCTTGAATTCTCTGCAAGCAGTTCTAGTCTTACTGCAAACCTTCCTGTTTATGTACTTCTTCGTGTGATGCAAGCTAAAACCAAGCTGTTTTCAACACCATCCAGACTGACTCAATTTCAAGCACTCAGGGAAAAAAAATAAAGTGCAATATTCTGTGACTAAAATTAGTCAGGCTTTAGAAACACACCAGGCGAGTGCATATTAAAGGAAATTTTAAAATTTTGCCTATCTGAAAACAGCCTTTCTGCCTCTTAATCTGCTAAGAGTGGGTAAGTGCACAGGAAAGCACCATCACAAGCCAGACAGGATATGCTGCGTGGCTCACTAGCGACCTCTTCAAGTGATTTCAAAACAGAAAAATTACCCTGTGATTTTATATGCAGCATATATTCATTAGTTTAAAAGTACCAAATAAACACAGTGTTTTACAGCTACATAAATCGGCAGGCTCTAACCCTGCACTATGTAGATCAAGCTATGTACTGTACTACTTTATTAAGCTTACTCACACTCTATGCTAACACAATGAACATGCTGAGGGAATATTATTCCAAGGACACGTTTAATTTAGAGTTTCAGCTACTTTTGGTTGCTTGGCCAAACACTTTATCATTTCATTTACTGGAATGACCCTGAAAGTAAACAGGAATACACATAGGCACACTATATTTCAGCACAGAAGAAACAAAGAGTAAAAAGAACAGGCTAAAATAGCAACGCAGATACTACGCCTACATCTTGGGATAACAGTGAAAAACTGTAGTTAGAGAAATTTAGCAATTTTGCTGTGACTAACCAGCAACTTATTCGCTTACTATATTCTACCAGCTTCTGTGCAAAACCTCTATCAGCTCTCTGTAAATTTGCAAAGCTGTTTTTCAAGCTCTCAAGCCTATTTCATAATCCATTATTTACCAAGCAAAAGAGGGTAATCCTCAGCTTCAAGCCACGGTGTACAGATCTGGATATGTTTAAAGTGCATTTTGTTTATCAGTCCATTGTAGTAGTCTTTTAGAGGTCCTTTACCTGTTTAAAACAGAAAAAAAATATATAATAGAATTTTTTATCAAGATGACTGAAAATAGTGTGGTCTGTGCATCTTACTGTACAGCTGACAAACTCCTGTTGTATCGGGCACATCAAAAAAGACATGTAGAAGACTAAGTCCCCTTGAAAGCAATGTGACCCTAGACTTTTGTTTACTCAATATTCAGAAAAGCCTGCCATCAATATCCCCCAGTCTTGACCTACATTTTGTCTACAGCCATAAGCTAACCAAATAACTAACAACATATTTCACCAGCACAACTGGCCCTTCAAAATCCCACTAAGTTTTAATTTGCTCTTAATGAGAAAGTTAACCACACAGCATTCATTCTGTCTACACAACTTTTTGGCAAAACCTTATTTGATGAGTAGGTCTTTTCCAGCACTAAAAAACTTGCTGCTTAACACTCCAAACATCAGATTTTACATTTCTTTTGCAGCATCATCTTAATGTTGAGCTTAAATTCTTTTGAACGTGGAGTAATGCACAGCTGTACTAGGTAGGCAGGCTGAGAACTTCTCCTCTTTAAAGATGCACCATGGTTACTTACACTGCTTAACAGTCCAGCTATAAATCATTGTTATTATTTACAACCAGACATAAAGACAATAGTCCCTCCTCTCTCTTTACTTTCAGAAGAGTCAAGAAAGAACAAAAGTGAAAATGAAGTCTTCTGTGTTAGCACTGAAAAAATTGTAGCGTGAATAAAATGTTACCTGTTATCACACATACTAAAGGTGGAAGCTTGACTCCTTCATTGATATACTGCTCATAATCTAGAGAAGACAAAAAACCTGTTTAGAGTCAAGAAATACACGGATGCTTGATTTAAGAATTCTCACAGTGTGTTAATTGTTTAGCTTCCCACTTCAAGTAATTTCTTTACAAGCATATACCTAGTAAAATAGTAGTAAACTTAGCAATATAAAAATTGACAAACTTCCATAGAAATCAATTATGGTCTGTTTAAAATGCATTACTCATCAAGCATTTGTCTGACTGCACCGTATTGGCTGTTTCAATATATTAACTTAGAAACCGCAGCTGCAAAGACTACAAAATAAGACAATGTGTATTCCTTTCTTTCCTATTAGCAGATGCAAGAGCTTAGAAAATAAAATTGCAATTTTCAAGACAGATAGAAATATAACTCTCCCTGACAACTGCTCTAATGGAATCTAGATGTTGCACTTCTGGATTTCAACTATTACTCTTAAACCACTGCTGATTAGTCAAACACACTTGCATTTTCACTTGAATATGGAAGCACTGTTCTTTAGCAAAACCCTTCATAACTGTCCATAAAACCACCGTTCCCCTTTGAATAGGTGAGATGAATTCCTTCATACCTACCTTCTAAAGCTTTTAAAAGGACTGAAAAGTCTTCATCCTCTGAAAGAGAAGGCTTTATTAGTGGCATTGATATTTCTATCATTTATAATGAATTATTATCCTTAAATAACAACAATCAAGATTTTCCTCACCTTCACCTAAATTATTTTAATAGAAAAAGCACATTCCATACTTAAAATCTGCTGTAACTGTTTTCATAAATAAAAGTCTGTAACCATATATAATGCTTATTTGTTCCCCTTACTGGCAACACGGCAGACAAACAAGCCACAAAAACATCTTCAAGGCTATCAAGTTTAAAATTTCTAGTTTCTGAAGCTGGAGAATTAAGTGTAGAACTTGCCCTCTTAATTCAAAGGTAGAGACAATTCTGCCCATGGTTACTAGATATGAATTTGTTCCCACTCTCTGTTCCCTTTTTCATATAGAGAAAAAAAAGTGAGAAAATTATGTAATACACATTATCAGAACTAAAGGACTAAATATTTCAGTTTATTAATCCATTTTACACCACCATGCAAGATAGCATGTCTAGAATGAAAGTTAAAAAAAGAAGTAGGAAATCTCTTTAATCATTCTTGAAGCTGAGCCTCTAGACTGCAGCTCTGTAATTAAAACATAGCTTTAAAAATCATTCCTCTCTAAACACTGAGGTATATCATATACAACTTGTCTTTAAATTCCTCCAGCCAAATGAAAGAAAAAAGTAACTTTGCCACTGATGATGTAAACACACTTCTATAGCATGGCAAGCATTAAGTGTGAGGAAGTATGAACAGCCCAGGTTTTATCTTTTTGTTAAACAGTGGTTAAATATTAAAAATAAAACTAATTGATTCCAAACCTGTCCAGCTTGTGCTGCTGATTAGAAGAGCTGGCCGTCCTTTGGTTTTTACCACGCGCCCATTTTTTTCATCCATTTCTGTAAAGGCAGACCTCTCGGCCTTCCAACTGAGAGACTCTGTACTACGGAAACAGAATTTTCTGAGTATGGACTACACAACCACAGCCAACAACCACAGAAGGTAATACTATGCTTAACTGGCATGAATTTCCAAACACTGTTTCAGATTTGCTGCTCGACTTCTCTAGAAACACAATCTTTACAGTACTGAGCTGCAGAGAGATATCTGATCGTAACAGAGACCATTTTTCATCTTTCCTATTGCTACCAAGAGCCTAGCGACGCTGCTGCTATAGGCACGATTCCATCTTCTAATAAAGTGTTTTCCTTAACAAGTTGAGAAAATACTCAGCCTGTCTTCCCAGCTCTGTCTCAAACACAGGGAGGCCAACAGTACATTTATTCAATTAAACTCAGAACCTCTACATTCTGTGGTGGGCACTTCCAAAAAGAAACTGCTAGACATTATGGCTTTCACTTCTTTTTCAAGTGTTAGTTTGGTAAAATAACTCCCTGTTAAATGAGACATCCTGCACATAGCCAGAGCACAACATTTAACACTTAGACCAAGGCCTTGAAAGCTCTCCACAGTAAGTGAAAGGAAGGGATGCTACTAACGAAGCATCCAGTCACTGTCATCTAGTTCAATGGGAACTAGACACCTGCTGAGTTCCACCCTAGAGATATACTATTAGATTGCCTCAGTACTTACGCTAACAGTTTTAAAAATAAAACTCTTCTATCATTTCACCCGCCAAGCATGGTGTTATCACAGTTCAACGATTTCACTCATCCTGGCCTCTCCCAGTGACAATTAAGCTAACCTGCACAGCATCGGCCGCTGGCTAAAAGCACGCAGAGACCACTCTGCCTCACGTTCAGTAACTTGTGACTCCGTGCAAAAGTATTTCCGGTCACTAAGTGCAGTAACTTTACGTCATTCAGTTAAGGCTGTAACTGCATGCTTTACTTACACATACCGTGGTTTAAAAGCCTCATAGTTTTTGGCAAGTTTCATGTACAAATGATGTTGAAGTTCTAACGAAGTTTCCTTGAAATAAGAAGCTGGCTTGTCATACAGTGTTACTGCCCTGTAATGGAACAAATTCACAAGTGAAATAAAAAACAGATGTAACAAATTGTATATGGTACAGTGACAGGCTATAACAATGTAATGCAGAAAGTAATTAAGTAAATCAATACAGCAAAATAATTAATTTTTTGATGTTTATAACTTTCTGTATGCCGTAAGTTTTCTGGAATACACCAAGGTGGACATACTGATCCCACAACAAAGGGCACCTTTCTTGTGTGCATATCCAAGGGGTCTAAATGCAACAGTAAAAACTGCAGACATAATTGTCCTGATTTTTAAACTCACTCCATCACTGTTCCCGAGCAACTTTGATCTTAAAGCCCTCTGATTGCCAAAGAAACATTCCAGAGCAGGCCAATTGTTAAAAAACACAGTGATGTCTGCCTCATTCCGATTCTACAGGCAGCTTGGTAGCAAGCTTCCATAACTCCTGGACTGCCACCTTCTAGTCAACGGGGTGTTAACTCTGGAGGGTAGTGAAGGTTCTTGAATGCCCACAGTCCTCTAGCTTATTGCAAAACCGAGCTAACATGTTTCACTGGTGATGGATGGGCTCAGGAAAGTTGCTCCTCTAAAATTCCTCTGAATCCAGAATCATCAGGGATATGTTCTTTCATTTTACTTCATGCACACACACGTGCTAATTTGTTAGAGGTATTTGACTTACTTTATGTTACAATTCACCCATAGATCTTCTTTCATTGCATTAGTGACGCACAAGTTATAGTCAGACAAACGCCCAAACAGCTTTTCGTACCTGACAAAAATTAAATCTTAGTTAGAAACCACAGGCAGGCAATCGCGTTAGCCAAACAGTAACTGCCCACCGGTGCCCCTGCTAATTAAAAGCCAAACAAAACCAAAAGAAACCCAACTGTCCCCAGTAACTGAAACGTAATTAGCAATTATTGACTGACTCCTTATACTGAAGCAAGGGACACAGCACGACTCCCTTATCCCCTAAGAACACCACACTCAAAAGCCTTTAAAGCCTTTATCTACATGTAACCAACTAGGTTCAGACCTTTAAAGATGAGTTGGAGTGTAAAGCAGCATTAGAGAATAAAAAAAACCCCGTACCTATAAAATCATTCTAATAACAAGACCAAAGTTTGCATATGCATATAAAAGCAACCTGCCTACTTCATCAATCCCCTTCCTACGTGTTTAACAAAGGTGCTTTACAGAACGTGCTTTCTGAAATCAAAAGCAGTTAAACACAGCAAAATCCAGAAATCCTTCAAGGAAACAGCCCTTTGCTAATTATATTCTCCCCACTGGTTTCTATTCTTCTGAATTCTGCAAAGGCATGTAATTTATCAACCGGAGAAGAAATTAGTGTACAAACCATTTTGCAATTTGTACTAGTGGGTGATTTCTTCCATGATTCAGACTCATTATAGTATATCCATAGTTGTGCCAATCAATTATCAGTTTGCTCCTCCAGAAAAGACATGCGACCCAGGCAACAGCTATACTGGGTAAGCCTGGAGGATTCTGTTTAACAAATAAAGCAAATAAAAATAGCATAAGACTGCGATCAAGTGACAAAAACTAAGCAACTACCAGAAAAAAGGAAATCAAACAATTGAAATCATGTTGCTTTACGGGATCTTAATGAAGAGAGACAGTTATAGACACCAGCTACAGAACTGCCAGTGTCTCCTATGAAGACTGGCAGACACTTCAAATTTACTGTTGGATCAGGATGAAAATTCCCCTCCAATAAACACACAAACATTTCTGTTAAGATTTATTCTTTACTGCTATCCATGCCAATGAAATCCACAAGCTCAGCAGTTAACAGGAAGAACAAAAGTGAACTGTTAACAGGAAAATCAAAGTTTAGAGCTAAATGAGTAGTTTGACATAGGTTTAAACCATTGATTAGGACAGTTTAAGTTCTCAAAAAATTAGAACAATGTCCGAGACTGCTAAAAATGCCCTGCAATGTAGTACTATTTATTTTACTAATATTGATCCCAAGACAAAACAGACCTGAAGAAGAATATAGGACGGCTGATCTATCTTCAGCATTGTGTACAGTAATTGTATTGCCTGCACAATGACTTTTATGACATACTGGAAAAGCTTCGGGCCAACTGTAAAACAACAGAAAAACCGATAAGAATGTTACAGCTCTCCAGAAACGCACACCTCATACAGAGCCAGCCATCCCTGCAGAGAAAGGTTTAAAATAACAGTACACTGTAAAAATTGAAACCTGTTTTTTAGACAAACATCTCGCAGTCCCTAAAAATTCCCCTTCTGTGTTTTGTACAGAAAGAAATCAGAGTAGGTATGGATAAACACAGACGCAGCTTAAAAAAAAATTAAAATTTAAAAATGCCCCTGTTTCAGCCTGCACCAGAACTGCGTTAATGTGCTCCGTACCACACAGACAAGTGTTTACAACCGGTGGGGAGGCACCGAGGACACGCAGCTGGGCTGAACCAGGGCACACCTCCGCCCCAGCCCCACCGAGGCCCAAACCCCCCTCGGGTTGTTCATTTTCCCACGAAAATCCCGTTTCCCCTTTTCCCCCGCTTCCCC